AACATATAGACAGGAGGTCATCCACATATAGACAGGAGGTATTCAACATATAGACAGGAGGTCATCCACATATAGACAGGAGGTATTCAACATATAGACAGGAGGTCATCAACATATAGACAGGAGGTCATCCACATATAGACAGGAGGTCATCCACATATAGACAGGAGGTCATCCACATATAGACAGGAGGTCAGGAGGTCATCCACATATAGACAGGAGGTTATCAACATATAGACAGGAGGTCATCCACATATAGACAGGAGGTCATCAACATATAGACAGGAGGTCATCCACATATAGACAGGAGGTCATCAACATATAGACAGGAGGTCATCCACATATAGACAGGAGGTATTCAACATATAGACAGGAGGTCATCAACATATAGACAAGAGGTCATCCACATATAGACAGGAGGTCATCAACATATAGACAGGAGGTATTCAACATATAGACAGGAGGTCTATAGATGTGCTCTATTCTGTTCAATTCCATTCCATCTGGGGCGGCAGGTAGCTTAGTGGGTAAGAGCGTTGTGCCAGTAACCGAAAGGTCGCTGGTTCTAATCCCCGAGCCGACTAGGTGAAAAATCTGTCGATGTGCCCTTAAGCAAGGCACTTAACCCTAATTGCTCCTGTGAGTCGCTCTGGATAAGAGCGTCTGCTAAATGACAAAAAAAAAAAAAAAAAAAAAAAAACATATAGACAGGAGGTCATCCACATATAGACAGGAGGTCTTCAACATATAGACAGGAGGTCATCCACATATAGACAGGAGGTCATCCACATATAGACAGGAGGTCATCCACATATAGACAGGAGGTCATCCACATATAGACAGGAGGTCATCCACATATAGACAGGAGGTCATCAACATATAGACAGGAGGTCATCCACATATAGACAGGAGGTCATCAACATATAGACAGGAGGTCATCAACATATAGACAGGAGGTCATCAACATATAGACAGGAGGTCATCCACATATAGACAGGAGGTATTCAACATATAGACAGGAGGTCATCAACATATAGACAGGAGGTCATCAACATATAGACAGGAGGTCATCCACATAAAGACAGGAGGTCATCCACATATAGACAGGAGGTCATCCACATATAGACAGGAGGTATTCAACATATAGACAGGAGGTATTCAACATATAGACAGGAGGTATTCAACATATAGACAGGAGGTCTATAGAAGTGCTCTATTCTGTTCAATTCCATTCCATCTATTCTGTTCAATTCCATTCCATCTATTCTGTTCCATTCCATTCCATCTATTCTGTTCTATTCTGTTCCATTCTGTTAAATTCCATTCCATCTATTCTGTTCCATTCCATTCCATCTATTCTGTTAAATTCCATTCCATTCCATCTATTCTGTTAAATTCCATTCCATCTATTCTGTTCCATTCCATCTATTCTGTTCCATTCCATCTATTCTGTTTTATTCCATTCCATCTATTCTGTTTTATTCCATTCCATCTATTCTGTTTTATTCCATTCCATCTATTCTGTTTTATTCCATTCCATCTATTCCGTTCCATTCCATATATTCTGTTCCATTCCATATATTCTATTGTATTCCATGATATCTATACTATTCTATTCTATGATATCTATACTATTCTATTCTATCTTCTATTCCATTCTATTGAAAATCATTATCAAGATCCAAGCCATGCCTGTCCATTGACCAGTTGACCAGTTGCAGTGAGTGATTTGTTGATGAGTTCATGTTGAGTCCAGAGTATGTCCTCACCTCAGCCCTCTCCAGTCGATGTCCCAAATGAAACCCTATTCCCTATATAGTGCACTACTGGTCAAACGTAGTGCACTATATAGGGAATAGGTTGTCATTTGGGACGTATACAAAAACATATCAACAACATTTTGCTAATCTGCCTTCCTGTCAGTCTCTCACTGCCAAGGGAGGTTGTTAGGGCCAGAATGCCTTTCAATTCAATTTGCTTTAGTGGCATGACGTAACAATGTACATATTGCCAAAGATTACTTTGGAGATTTACAATATTAACATAATTAATAATAATAATCAATATTGTCAACAGCAACAACAATAACCAAGGGTCAAAATAACCATACATTTAACAATAACAATAAGACTGGACCAGAGCTAATATCCTGCAAAACCAACGGTAGACTATGGACAGGTGTCCAGTGCTGTGGTCCAAGAGACATTAAAACATAGTCTAACATGTTTACACAATGTTACATTATTGTTTCAGCAACGGTTAATGAAGAGAATATTTCAACTGAACGGCTAGGCTATGATCATACTGTATATTCTCTTCATAAACAGTTGCTGAAGCAATAATCTAATGAAACGCAAGAGGTGTCTAGACGCGACGAGACCTTGAATGCGCTCTGCTCTGAGTCAAGATCAAGAAGGTGGGTGGGTGTCTGCGTGCTTCGGTCCGCAACGATCACTGTTCTCACACACTGCCTGCTGTTGGGAGAACTAGTCAACCGTCATATTTTACAAATCAAAAAGGTTTAATTCAAGATTTTCAACGTTTGAGGTGAGTAAAACTTTATTTAAACACTTACTCTGCATGCCTGTAAATTGTTTGTTTTTTATATAGTTTTTTGTTTAAAGCCAATTAAACGTACAACAAGCCTACAACATGTAAGTAATACAAAATGAAAGAAAGTTAAACGTTTGCGATACCTGTCAGTGGATCCAGTCATTGTGCTCTTTTGTGTATTCCACAGGTGGAGTTTGCACAGTTTTGGGATTCCTGGAAATAAATAATGAAAATTCACAACATGTAATTGCTTAGGAAATAGGCTACTATCATAAGCACGATCGAATACCTTTTTATTTGTATGATATTTCATGGTTTTTAAAATCATATTATACCCAGCTAGCACACAGTCTGAGAACAATATGTTTCTTAGAACTTGGTGAGAGCGTGGTTGTCCTGTGGTTATTTTCCCTACAACCTTCCCACAACGTTCTGGAAATTGGGCAGGATAGTTGCTTGGCTTTGCTCCATTCTCAGCGTATTTAAGGAACTTGACAAAATAACGTTACTTTCTTGGTATTTCCTTACTTTAACAATGCCTTACCTATAAGTTCAAACATGGTTCAGTTTTCAAAAACAAATTGTAATGTTCTAGGAATGTTCTCCAACTGGTTTGACATTGGGATTGTTCTGAAATAGTTCAGAGAACGTTAAGAAACAAGGTTCTGTGGGAATTTCAATACTTCAGCATAATGATTCCACCAGGTTCCCTCATGGTTCTATTTTAAATAATGTTCTCAGAACAGGGGGGCTAGCAGGCCAGAGGTGGATGAACGCCTAACCTAGCAGTGTTATTAAAAGCCTTATTGAAACATTCAGTGAAAGTTTTGAGGAAGTTATTCTAAAACCTCATAACCTATAATTTCCAGTCTCAGAACGTTTAATAAAACCTCCGGGAAAACTTTCAGGGAACCATAGTAAAATGTTCTCAGAACCTCCTTGCAACCTAAAAATCTATGTTCCCATAAGAGGCGAAATGTTCACTTCCGTTCTCAGAACATTTAAAAAGCGTTCAGTTTTACCGGTCAGGAAACGTATGCTTCGTTCCCAGAACCAATGGGAAGCCAAAAACGTACATCATCACAAATTCCAAGGAACCAAATGAGATATCTGGGTAATGGCTGCTAAATAGTTCGGCTAATGAGCAACAGACTGTTGTTGTGCTCTTTTGGTCAGAAAACCAGCAACTATTGTAGCGAATTTGGGGGGGTAGCCCGACCTGGACTCGAACCCAGGTCCAGCGACTGTCAAGCCAACACCTTAACTGTTATGACAAGAGGTCCAAACCTCTTGATGAGGTCGCTAAGTGTAGGTCGCTACATTACCCCCTTTGGGAGAGCATGTCGCCACGCTTCCTTCTACCAAATCCCTCATGTGTATGTGCCTCTTCAATGGCCCAACGGCTGCCATCCCACTTCTGACACCAATGTAGGGAATTCGGGGGTAGCTCAAACTCGGGTCCAGCATCTGTCAAGCCAACACCTTAACCGTTATGCCAAGAGGTCCGAACCTCTTGACGAGGTCGCTAGGTGTGGGGTTAAGGTCGGTACAAAATTGAAGATGCAATTTGCTAGAAACCCTCCGAAAACGAAATATTTATTTCATGGCTGGTTTCCATGTATACATATTGGGATCTCTGTGTAAACACACACAGGTGAAAACGGTTCCAAAACAAACAAGTAGCCTATCGTTTTCTTAACAGATGGTTATGAATCAGATAGGCTACCTGAAGATGAGAGACTATTTAACGACATTTCAGTAAATTATCTTAACTGATGTGTCCTTTAATAAGCTTTGTCTATGCCATTATGTTAGTCACTGAAGTAGATATACATAATAATCTGGTACCATTGTCAGAAAATCTTTTTAGTTCTTTAAAAGCATCCTCACCGTCTTGTCTTGGTTGTTCTTAAGGCCAGGCACCACAGGCTGAAACAACATTTTTGCAGCAATTTTGAGATTTGGGGGGTATTTTGGTTGTTTTAAATAGTACTTTCAAAATGTAAACATAAAAATGTCAAAAACTTCATGTAAATGTACAGTATATTATCTTTAGTTGATCATACTACCGTCATCAACATTTTATGCATATTACCAATTTAAATGTTTTACTGTCTTTGTACAGTTCTACAAACAACCTCACTGGCAGCTTGGGTTTTCAGCTGTATTTCACAAAGATAATGACTGTGTCCAAAATGTCACCCTATTCTCCCTAAGGGGCCCCGGTCGAAATTAGTGCACAAGGGAATAGGGTGCCATTTGGGACATATACTGTATAACTATGATAGAGCTGGCTAGGACTCAAACCGGCTGATGGGGGTATTGACTCAGGGAGGATACAGTACTGGCTGATATGGGAGTATTGACTCAGGGAGGATGAAGTACTGGCTGATATGGGAGTATTGACTCAGGGAGGATACAGTACTGGCTGATGGGGGTATTGAATCATGGAGGATACAGTTATTGCTGATGGGTATTGGACGTCAGGGGAGGAGTACCAGGATGGGAGGTGGGTATTGCTCATGGAGGAAAGTATGTGGGGGGTATTGACTCAGGGAGGATGACAGTACTGGTGATGGGGGTATTGACTCAGGGAGGATACAGTACGGCTGATGGGGTATTGACTCAGGAGGATGAAGTACTGGCTGATATGGGGTATTGACTCAGGGAGGATACAGTACTGGCTGATGGGGGTATTGACTCAGGGAGGATACAGTACTGGCTGATGGGGGTATTGACTCAGGGAGGATACAGTACTGGCTGATATGGGGGTATTGACTCAGGGAGGATACAGTACTGGCTGATTGGGGTATTGACTCAGGGAGGATACAGTACTGGCTGATGGGGGTATTGACTCATGGAGGATACAGTTAATGCTGATGGGGGTATTGACTCAGGGAGGATAAGTACTGGCTGATGGGGGTATTGACTCAGGGAGGATACAGAGGACATGATATGGGGTATTGACTACAGGAGATTAATACTTGCTGATATGGAGTATTGACAGGAGATACAGGGTACGCATGGGGTTTACTGTTGACTCGGGAGGATACAGTACCTCCACTGATGGGGGTATTGACTCAGGAGGTACAGTACTGCGATGGGGGTATGACTCAGGGAGGATGAAGTACTGGCTGATGGGGTATGACTCAGGAGATGAAGACTAGTCTTGGCATGGTTCTGTTATATCTCCACCCGGCACACCATAAGAGGACTGGCCACCCATCATAGCCTGGTTCCTCTCTAGGTTTCTTCCTAGGTTTTCGCCTTTCTAGGGAGTTTTTCCTAGCCACCGTGCTCCTACACCTGCATTACTAGCTGTTTGGGGTTTTAGGCTGGGTTTCTGTACAGCACTTCGAGATATTAGCTGATGTAAGAAGGGCTATATAAAATAAAATTGATTGATTGATTGGCTGATGGGGGTATTGACTCAGGGAGGATACATGGAGACAGATTGCTGTGATTGCTACTGACATTTCCAACACTTCTGACATCATGTGAAGGAATCTAGAGGATGAAGAGGAGGAGGGGTGACGTATACATCCCATCGCCGGTGCTTCACAGAAATAATACTTAGATGAAGAAGTTATCTAGAGAGGAGCGCCATGATGGATTCTATTCAGTCTACACCTGATGTCTTCACCACAGATAGGTACTGCAACAACAACTTTGTCTGCTTAATGAAATTCTAGAAAGAGTGTACAAAATATTAAGGACACCTTTCTAATACAGAGTCCCCCCTCCCTTGCCCTCAGAACAGCCTCAATTCGTCGGAGCTTGGACTCTACAAGGTGTCAGAAGCATTCCACAGGGATGCTAGCCCATGTTGACTCCAATGCTTCCCACGGTTGTGTCAAGTTGGCTGGGTGGTGGACCCTTCTTGCTACACACGGGAAACTGTTGAGCGTGAAAAACCCAGCAGCGTTGCAGTTCTTGACACAAACAGGTGCGCCTGGAACCTACTACCATACCCTGTTCAAAGACACTTAAATCTTTTGTCTTTCCCATTCACCCTCTGAATGGCACACATACACAATCTCAATTGTCTCAAGGCTTAAAAATCCTTCTTTAACCTGTCTCCTCCCCTTCATCTACACTGATTGAAGTGGATTTAACAAGTGACATAAATAAGGGATCATAGCTTTCACCTGGATTCACCTGGTCAGTCTGTCATGGAAAGAGCAGGTGTTCTTAATGTTTTGTACACTGCAGTGTTTGTTGTCATGGCTGTCGAAACTTTGGTGTATGAAATGTATTGGAGCCATGGGAGTAATTGTCTTTTCTTCAACAGCACCTTGAGAGAACCATACAATGAGACCCAACTGTCACCATCCAACTCAACCCTACCCGTCGAGCATCACAACAGCTTCCACAACACCCTACTAGGTGTGGACGTGTGCCTGTGCCTGTGTGTGCCTGAGCATATTGGGAAAGGCCCATTTCGGTTCTAAGCAACGGACAATAAAGTATCTATCCTATCTATTGTAGGACTCTTCCTGGGCTTCCTGTCGCTGCTCACCGTCATCATGAACATCCTGGTACTGTACGCTGTGAAGAAGGAGCGGACCCTCCACACGGTGGGCAACCTCTACATCGTCAGCCTCTCCGTGGCGGATCTCATCGTCGGGGCCACCGTGATGCCCCTCAACCTGGTCTATCTGCTGGAGGACGAGTGGAGCCTGGGGAGGGTCGTCTGTCAGTTCTGGCTCGTCGTGGATTACGTAGCCAGCACAGCCTCAATCTTTAGTCTGTTTATACTTTGTCTGGATCGGTATCGGTCCGTGCACGAGCCGCTGAGGTACCTGAAGTACCGGACCAGAGGGAGAGCTAGCGTTATGATCTCAGGGGCCTGGCTGTTGTCTATGATGTGGATTATTCCTATTCTAGGGATGGAGGTCGATTGCTACGGTCGATCTTAAGCCGGAGATGGAAAATAAGTGTGACACTGATTTCCGATTTGTTACGTGGTTTAAGGTTCTGGCTTCAGTGTTTAACTTCTACGTTCCCTCTCTGTTGATGCTGTGGCTGTACTCACGTATCTACACGGCTGTGAGGCAGCACTTCAGAGAGAGGGAGAAGTTTATCAATCCCACAGATTCCGTGGCGGGAAACCGTATCGGACACAAAGTCCAAACAGGAAATAGCTCCTGCAAATCTTCTAACAAGGAAAAGAAGGGAAAAAACAGTGACTTTGATCAGTACACTTTAGACCAGCCGTACGACTCCACAGACACAGCTGAAATCAACACACCCAGGGAACCCAAGTCTGGGAAAGACTCTCACTCGAGTCATTCACTGCTCAGAATGACAAAACGTCTAAGGACGACTGTAAAAGAAAAAAGAAAGAGCAACTCTTTTCAGGATTCAGACTCTGACCCTTTGAACCTGTCAAGGTTACCTCTCAGCTTCACACACGACGACAACAATGTGCAGGAACTGTACGTGTCCATGAGCGACATAGCCGTGCCGCCAAACTCCATGGCTAGCGTCTGCGAGATAACCCAGATAGCTGGTGTGCAGAGACACAACAACGATTTCACCCAGTCTCTGAATTCACCCCTGTCACCATGGCCCCAGGAGAACTCAGATCCTGATGGTGGTACTAACCCGGACGCTGTAGCCAATGCTGTGACTCTGAAGCAGACCTGGCAGAAGTTCTGTGTCCAGTCCAGGAAGCGTATCCAGATCCTTCAGGTCCATAAGGAGCACAAAGCGGCCAAGCAGCTGGGCTGTATCATAGCTGGGTTCATGCTGTGCTGGATCCCCTACTTCATAGTCTTTATGGTCATGGCTTTCTGCCAGACCTGTGTACATCACGACCTACATATGTTCACGATATGGCTCGGGTATATAAACTCTACTTTGAACCCATTCATATACCCCCTCTGCAATGGGAATTTCAAAAGGGTGTTCAAAAAGATTTTACACATTAATTTGTGATGAAAGGTTTTCTGAACAGTGCCTTGAGTGGCCGGTTGCCCTTTCAGTTCATTTTTTTGGTGCTGCTTTAACTTATAGTGTATTCGGAAAGTATTCAGACCCCTTGACTTTTTCCACATTTTGTTACGTTACAGCCTTATTCTAAAATGGATTAAATAAATACAAATCCTATTCAATCTACACACAATACCCAATAATGACAAATTGAAAACAAGTTTTTAGAAATGTTTGGAAATTGATTAAAAATAAACAGAAATACTTTATTTACTTAAGTATTCAGACCCTTTGCTATGAGACTCGAAATTGAGCTCAGGTGCATCCTGTTTCCATTGATCATCCTTGAGATGTTTCTACACTTGATTGGAGTCCACCTGTGGTAAATTGAATTGATTGTACGTGATTTGGAAAGGCACACACCTGTCTATATAAGGTCCCACAGTTGACAGTGCATGTCAGAGCAAAAACCAAGCCATGAGGTCAAAGGAATTGTCTCTGAGCTCTGAGACAGGAGTGTGTCGAGGCACAGATCTGGGGAAGGGTACCAAAAATGTTCTGCAGCATTGAAGGTCCACAAGAACACAGTGGGCTCCGTCATTCTTAAATGGAAGAAGTTTGTAACCACCAAGACTCTTCCTAGAGCTGGCCGCCCAGCCAAACTGAGCAATCGGGGGAGAAGGGCCTTTGTCAGGGAGGTGACCAAGAACCTGATGGTCACTCAGACAGAGCTCCAGAGTTCCTCTGTGGAGATGGAAGAACCTTCCAGAAGGACAACCATCTCTGCAGCACTCCACAATCAGGCCTTTATGGTAGAGTGGCCAGACGGAAGCCACTCCTCAGTAAAAGGCACATGACAGTCCGCTTGGAGTTTGCCAAAAGGCACCTAAATGACTCTTAGACCATGAGAAACAAGATTCTCTGGTCTGATGAAACCAAGGTTGAACTCTTTGGCCTGAATACCAAGCGTCAAGTCTGGAGGAAACCTGGCACCATCCCTACGATGAAGCATGGTGGTGGCAGCATCATGCTGTGGGGATGTTTTTCAGCGGCAGGGACTGGGAGACTAGTCTGGATCAAGGGAAAGATTAACGGAGCAAAGTACAGAGAGATCCTTGATTAAAACCTGCTCCAGAGCGCTCAGAACCTCAGACTGGGGCGATGGTTCACCTTCCAACAGGACAACGACCCTAAGCACACAGTCAAGACAACGCAAGAGCGGCTTCGGGACAAGTCTCTGAATGTCCTTGAGTGGTCTAGCCAGAGCCCGGACTTGAATCCGATCGAACATCTCTGGAGACTTGAAAATAGCTGTGCAGCGACGCTCCCAATCCAATCTGACAGAGCTTGAGAGGATCTGCAGAGAAGAATGGGAGAAGCTCCCCAAATACAGGTGTGCCAAGCTTGTAGTGTCATACCCAAGAAGACTCGAGGATGTAATCGCTGCCAAAGGTGCTTCAACAAAGTACCGAGGGAAGGGTCTGAATACTTATGTAAATGTCATATTTAAAAAAAAAAATATTTGTAATACATTTGCTAAAATTTCTAAAAACCAGTTTTTGCTTTGTCATTATGGGGTATTGTGTGTAGCTTGATGAGGGGGGGGGACAATTTAATCCATTTTAGAATAAGGCTGTAACGTGACAAAATGTGGAAAAAGTCAAGGGGTCTGAATACTTTACGAATGCACTGTATGTGTGCTTGAATGTTTTGAGTAACCTCAATTTGGTACCTTAACTTTGTATCGTTTTGTGAATATAATGCTTATTTATTGTAGGCCTAAATATTTCTGTTCCATGTATCAAACCCAAACCATAACACCATCCTTCCCACGCTACAGTAAGTGCCATATGTCATTGCGAAGGAACAGAAAGCCTTGCAATTCTGTATTTATTTATTATTTATTCTGAAAAACTCTACAGAAAAAGGCACAGAGACGGTTTCAATACAATCTGGTTCAAGTTCAAACCTTAATTGTCAATAATTTTGTGAAAATGGAAATGTGTCTTATCTCAAACAGCAACCATGCATTCCATTCTTCATGGAGTCTTATCTGACTTTTTGTTTGATTTTAGTCAGTTATGTGTCTACAATTACCAATAAAAAAGTGTCCTAACTGGTGTGGTTTGTTATGGAAGAGTAGCCTATGCAATTTTGCAAACTGTTGTACTGTACTTCCCTTACCAAAACTATTTATACAAAAAATACATACATCTCAAATTATTTCAGTTGTTTGTCTTGATTTGTGTGGGAGCTAGTTTAGACTAAACCTTACTGCTGTAACTCAGAGCTCACACTGTGCTAAACAACTCAAAATGATATGTTTACTTTCTACTATAAAAAAAAAAGTAGCTTTTTAACATTGACTAAAAACATTTTATTATATATTGCTCACTCTATGTAGACAAAATGTCAAAATCTGTAAATAATGTGTTGGCCACATCCTGAGTTGAGGTCATGCAAGCCACCATAATTATAGTTCTTTTTCTTTGGCCTGAATAATCTGGTAAATACATTATTGGGGATTAAAAAGACTGATGGCCAAATATGTGAATAGCTGGACTACAGAGAATTACCTCTGAAGGATATACTGACAAACATCCAGACATTTACAACGATTTTCTAGTGTATTGGAATCACCTATTTCTCTCTGGTGGAACCAAATATATGACTCACAACCGGTCCCAATTCACTGCCTAACCCTCCTCCCCCGTTAGCCCTAACCCTTCACGGTGAGCTGATCTGTAAGGTGTTGGCTATTTGGTGGAAGCTCCACTTCTACACTGTTTATACCTATCCACTGTTCAGAACTGTAAACAAGGGTTAGGGACAAGGGGCTGGAGACAGGTCAGGGGCCCCTACTGATGACCATTGGCCCTTGTCCATCTAACTTATATGCACATAAGTGGTGGCGTGAAATTGGACACAGCAATATGCTACTGAACCTAATGGAATGTAGCTAGTTTATCTTTACATGCTAAAAGTGAGGTGAATACTTTATTGATTAGGATAATTGGGAAATGATTAGAAGCTAACTGGGCTGTGGCAAGTTTGGTTGGCGCTGCATGAAAAACTGCCTACGCGCTACCAGTTTAGCTGGTTGGTTTATTAACTCAACCAATTCAATAACCAATGAAGTTGAGTGCATGGAATGTGGCTCAACACGAAAATCCTAATTTGACGTGACTTCTAGAGCATTCTTTTCTACAGAAGACACGAGTATGTCCTCTCTTTTTGGCCTGTTTGAATGACTTTGCTCGGCTTCCTTTCCTGGTGCTTTTTGTCGTTCATTAATTAGTTAAGATAGCTTGTTTGTTAGCCAGGCATCATTGCTAGCTAGCAAAAAAAATAACTTTTATATGTTTTGTTGGCTCATCCGGGCAGCAACAGCGAGATGAGGAGTGGAGCGTACAAGTTTCTGTCCGTTTTTTCTTGCCTCATTGTTTGCGGTTTCATGTTCATGTTTTGGTTTTTCGTTTTTTACTCTATGGTACTTGCGCCATGACTTACAACTGGAATGCATTTGACAGTTAACTAGCTATTTAGCACAGACAGCTAGCTAAGTTAGCGAACGTTAACCCAGTCGGCAAAGGCGATTTTGTCCCCCACAAAGCAACCCATACTGACAAGTTGTAGCCCGTAATAGTAACGTTAATCAAAAGTTTGCCTCCGAATTTAGCTAGCTACATAACAATCAACAGAAACAGTCAAATGTAGCAAGTTAGCGAACGGCTAACTAGCAACAACATTGTGCACATACCCATAGTGCATTGCGGCAACGACAGGCGGCCGATCACATGATCTGAATAAGGAAGCGAGGTTTATTTGGGTAAGTGTACCACGGGTAAAACAATCAATAAAATGTAAATACATTTCTCCCAGTGCTCAACAGCGGTATGTAGCTAAGTGTGGCTCAGTTAAACTTGTCGTGTTTGGTGTTATGTGCATGACAGGAGCCTTGTAGTCGACTCCACATTGGAAGGTGGAACAGCATGACTACTCAAGTATTGTAGCTAGCTAGCTAGCTGTTTTCATGTAGACTGGCTATGCCAGACACCACAGCTGGCTGCTATAATCGTGTTGTTGAAACAGAATATATAATATAATCAGATAATTCATATTTCCCAGGCAGCTGAGTATATAAGCTGTCAGATCAGGTGTGTGTGTGTGTGTGTGTGTGTGTGTGTGTGTGTGTGTAGAATACCCATAGACGTATAAGGTGTGAACTGAATAGTGTGTTGCCACATGACAGTTAGCTAGCTATGGACACCTCCCTAACAACACTACTGAAAAGCTCCTTTGTCATTCTGCCAACACACCCAGAGTCACACTACAATACATTATTGAAATGTTTAACTAGCTATACACTAACATCTCCAGTAAATAATAGTTGGAAAACTTTTGTAGTAGATGACCCATATGGAGTCCAATTGTTAATCACATGCTACAAATCATGTAAATTAGCTAAATCAGTTCCTTAAATTGCTTCCTGTCATGAAAATTTGTGTCACGAGAAGTGACTTCTCTCTGCTCTCTTCCTTTCATCCGTCTCTCCTTTTCCAATCATCCTATTCCTATACCCTCAACAACACCCCTCTTCCTCCCCCCTCCCCCCTCCCCTCTCCTCAGCCCCCTCCACCGCTCCTCTCCCCCCTCCCCTCTAATCTACTCCCTCTTCATCCTGTGCGCTATCCCTTCATCTCGTATTACCCACCCCCCCCCCCCCTCATGTCTTTTATATAGATCGTATCTGAGCATCAACGAACAGGAGCAGTGATAGAGATGGCTTCTGTGTCTGTAGACAAAGACAGTGCAGATCAAAAGCTGCAGTTTGCTCCCTTCTCCAGTGCCTTAGAGGCAGGCTTCTGGCACCAGCTCACTCAGAAGAAACTCAACGACTACCGACTGGATGAAAGCCCCAAGAATATCAAAGGCTACTACTACAATGGTGAGAAATGAAACATTGAGTAACAGTCTTGGAGCATTCTTGGGGTGACTGTCTGTCTCGACTTGGTTCTTCAATGTTGACACAAGTCAAATGGAGATAGATATACAGTGGGGAGAACAAGTATTTGATACACTGCCGATTTTGCAGGTTTTCCTACTTACAAAGCATGTAGAGGTCTGTAATTTTTTATCATAGGTACACTTCAACTGTGAGAGATGGAATCTAAAACAAAAATCCAGAAAATCACATTGTATGATTTTTAAGTAATTAATTTGCATTTTATTGCATGACATAAGTATTTGATCACCTACCAACCAGTAAGAATTCCGGCTCTCACAGACCTGTTCGTTTTTCTTTAAGAAGCCCTCCTATTGTCCACTCATTACCTGTATTAACGGCACCTGTTTGAACTTGTTACCTGTATAAAAGACACCTGTCCACACACTCAATCAAACAGACTCCAACCTCTCCACAATGGCCAAGACCAGAGAGCTGTGTAAGGACATCAGGGATAAAATTGTAGACTTGCACAAGGCTGGGATGGGCTACAGGACAATAGGCAAGCAGCTTGGTGAGAAGGCAACAACTGTTGGCGCAATTATTAGAAAATGGAAGAAGTTCAAGATGACGGTCAATCACCCTCGGTCTGGGGCTCCATGCAAGATCTCACCTCGTGGGGCATCAATGATCGTGAGGGATCAGCCCAGAACTACACGGCAGGACCTGGTCAATGACCTGAAGTGAGCTGGGACCACAGTCTCAAAGAAAACCATTAGTAACACACTACGCCGTCATGGATTAAAATCCTGCAGCGATCGCAAGGTCCCCCTGCTCAAGCCAGCGCATGTCCAGGCCCGTCTGAAGTTTGCCAATGACCATCTGGATGATCCAGAGGAGGAATGGGAGAAGTTCATGTGGTCTGATGAGACAAAAATATAGCTTTTTGGTCTAAACTCCACTCGCCGTGTTTGGAGGAAGAAGAAGAAGGATGAGTACAACCCCAAGAATACCATCCCAACCGTGAAGCATGGCGGTGGAAACATCATTCTTTGGGGATGCTTTTCTGCAAAGGAGACAGGACGACTGCACCGTATTGAGGGGAGGATGGATGGGGCCATGTATCGCGAGATCTTGGCCAACAACCTCCTTCCCTCAGTAAGAGCATTGAAGATGGGTCGTGGCTGGGTGTTCCAGCATGACAACGACCCGAAACACACAGCCAGGGCAACTAAAGAGTGGCTCCGTAAGAAGCATCTCAAGGTCCTGGAGTGGCCTAGCCAGTCTCCAGACCTGAACCCAATAGAACATCTTTGGAGGGAGCTGAAAGTCCGTATTGCCCAGCGACAGCCCCGAAACCTGAAGGATCTGGAGAAGGTCTGTATGGAGGAGTGGGCCAAAATCCCTGCTGCAGTGTGCAAACCTGGTCAAGACCTACAGGAAACGTATGATCTCTGTAATTGCAAACAAAGGTTTCTGTACCAAATATTAAGTTCTGCTTTTCTGATGTATCAAATACTTATGTCATGTAATAAAATGCAAATTAATTACTTAAAAATCATACAATGTGATTTTCTGGATTTTTGTTTTAGATTCCGTCTCTCACAGTTGAAGTGTACCTATGATAAAAATTGCAGACCTCTACATGCTTTGTAAGTAGGAAAACCTGCAAAGTCGGCAGTGTATCAAATACTTGTTCTCCCCACTGTATACATAGGCTAGATTAATTTGACATATTTTCAGACTAGTAAGAAAGAATTGCAAAATAATATCCAAGGGTGCATACTGCTACAATGGTGAGTTTATACCTATAGGCTACCTATACAATGACATATCTAGGCCTAAAAAAAAACCTGGCTTTTGGAACATTGTGTGACTGTCTTGACTTGGTTCAATGTTGATAGCTGTCTCAAGTCAAATGGAGACTACTTGTAAGACACAAGTTGTGTGGGTTTGCAAAAGTACCTGTTTTTTTTATACCTGTGACTGATTTGTGTACCTGTTTTTTTTTGATACCTGTGACTGATTTGTGTACCTGTTTTTTTGATACCTGTGACTGATTTGTGTACCTGTTTTTTTGATACCTGTGACTGATTTGTGTACCTGTTTTTTTTTTTATACCTGTGACTGATTTGTGTACCTGTTTTTTTGATACCTGTGACTGATTTGTGTACCTGTTTTTTTGATACCTGTGACTGATTTGTGTACCTGTTTTTTTTGATACCTGTGACTGATTTGTGTCTATTGTCTTCGATCTAGGCGATCCGGTCGGCCTCCCCACTCGCCTGACTTTGGAGTTTAGTGCATTTGAGGCGTAAGTATTACAGCTACACTCCTAGAAAAAGGGGTTCCTAAAGGGTTATGTGGCTGTCCCCATAGGAGAACCCTTTTTTGGTTCTAGGTAGAACCCTTTTTGGTTCTAGGTAGAACTATTTTTGGTTCCATGTAAAACCCTCTGTGGAAAGGGTTCTATCTGGAACAACAAAAAAAGCGTTCTTCAAAGGGTTCTCCTATGGGGACAACCGAAGAACCCTTTTCGGTTCTAGATGGCAGCCTTTTTTTTTTTTTTCTTCTAAGATTGTAGATATCGCACCTTTTTGACCGGTACAGTACGTCTTCTATCTCTCTAGTGAGGGCTAACAAATGGAATATGGAGATACACAAAATGAATATGGCCTGTGTTCATGATGTTGCTCCTGTTCCATTATGTAGGGATGGCCCCAGCCCAGCCCGCTGCTGTCCCGTCACAGGGACCCTGTACAACACCAACACACTTGAGGCCTTCAAGACCTCAGACAAGAAAGCACTGCTGGAACAACAAGCCATGGAGGTAAGGCCCAATGATAGACATACAAACATATATTACATACGTAGAAATACAGTACATGCAGCACCCAGTCAAAAGTTTGGACACGCCTACTCATTCAAGGGTTTTTCTTAATGTTTTTACTAATTTTTTTTTTACATTGTAGAATAATAGTGAAGACATCAAAACTATGAAATAACACATATGGAATCATGTAGTAACCAATAAAGTGTTAAACAAATCAAAATATATTTTATATTTGAGATTCTTCAAATAGCCACCCTTTGCCTTGATGACAGCTTTGCACACTCTTGGCATTCTCTCAACCAGCTTCATGAGGTAGTCACCTGGAATGCATTTCAACTAACAGGTGTGCCTTCTTAAAAGTTAATTTGTGGAATTTCTTTCCTTCTTAATGCGTTTGAGCCAATCAGTTGTGTTGTGACAAGGTAGGGGAGGTATACAGAAGACAGCCCTATTTGGTAAAAGACCAAGTCCATTTTATGGCAAGAACAGCTCAAATAAGCAAAGAGAAATGACAGTCCATCATTACTTTAAGACATGAAGGTCAGTCAATACGGAAAATGTCAAGAACTTAGAACGTTTCTTCAAGTACACTCACAAAAACCATCAAGCGGTATGATGAAACTGGCTCTCATGAGGACCATCACAGGAATGGAAGACCCAGAGTTACCTCTGCTGCAGAGGATAAGTTCATTAGAGTTACCATCCTCAGAAATTGCAGCCCAAATAAATGCTTCACAGAGTTCAAGTCACAGACACATCTCAACATCAAATGTTCAAAAGGGACTGTGTGAATCAGGCCTTCATGGTCAAATTGCTGCAAAGAAACCACTACTAAAGGACACCAATAAGAAGAGACCTGCTTGGGCCAAGAAACACGAGCAATGGACATTAGACCGGTGGAAATGTGTCCTTTGGTCTGGAGTCCAGATTTGAGATTTTTGGTTCCAACCGCCATGTCTTTGTGAGACGCGGTGTGGGTGAACGGATGATCTCTGCTTGTGTAGTTCCCACTATAAAGCATTGAGGAGGAGGTGTTATGGTGTGGGGGTGCTTTGCTGGTGACACTGTCTGTGATGTATTTAGAATTCAAGGCACACTTAACCAGCATGGCTACCACAGCATTCTGCGGCGATACGCCATCCCATCTGGTTTGGGCTCAGTGGGACTATCATTTGTTTTTCAACAGGACAATGACCCAACACACCTCCAGGCTGTGTAAGGGCTATTTTACCAAGAAGGAGAGTAATGGAGTGCTGCATCAGATGACCTGGCCTCCACAATCCCCCAACATCAACCCAATTGAGATGGTTTGGGATGAGTCAGACCGCAGAGTGAAGGAAAAGCAGCCAACAAGTGCTCAGCATATGTGGGAACTCCTTCAAGACTGTTGGAAAAGCATTCCAGGTGAAGCTGCTTGAGAGAATGCCAAGCGTGTGCAAAACTGTCATCAATGCAAAGGGTGGCTATTTGAAGAATCTCAAATATAAAATATATTTTAAATTTGTTTAACACTTTTTTTTGGTTACTACATGATTCAATATGTGTTATTTCATCGTTTTGATGTCTTCACTATTATTCTACAATGTAGAAAATAGTAAAAATAAAGAAACCCTTGAATGAGTACGTGTCCAAACTTTGACTGGTAGTGTATGTCCATGGTAAGGCCTAATTTATGTATATACAGTGCATTGGGAAAGTATTCAGACCCCTTGACTTTTTCCACATTTTGTTACATTACAGCCTTATTCTAAAATTCATTAAATAAAAATGTTCTCATCAATCTACACACAATACCCCATAATGACAAAGTGAAACAGGTTTTTGGAAATCTTAGCACATTTTTTTTAATATACAAGTATTCAGACCCTTTGCTATGAGACTCAACATTGAGCTGCGGTGCATCCTGTTTCCATTGATCATCCTTGAGATGTTTCTACAACTTGATTGGAGTCCACCTTTTGATAAATTCAATTGATTGGATATGATTTGGAAAGGCACACACCTGTCTATATAAGGTCCCACAGTTGACAGTGCATGTCAGAGCAAAAACCAAGCCATGAGGTCGAAGGAATTGTCCGTAGAGCTCCGAGACAGGATTGTGTCGAGACACAGATCTGGGGAAGGGTACCAAAACATTTCTGCAGCATTGAAGGTCCTCAAGAACACAGTGGCCTCTATCATTCTTAAATGGAAGAAGTTTGTAACGACCAAGACTCTTCCTAGAGCTGGCCGCCCGGCCAAACTGAATAATTGGGGGAGAAGGGCCTTGGTCAGGGAGGTGACCATGAACCCGATGGTGATTCTGACAGAGCTCCAGAGTTCATCTGTGGAGATGTTAGAAACTTCCAGAAGGACAACCATCTCTGCAACGCTCCACCAATCAGACCTTTATGGTGGAGTGGCCAGACGGAAGCCACTCCTCAGTAAAAAGCACATGACAGCATTTACATTTTACATTTGAGTCATTTAGCAGACGCTCTTATCCAGAGCGACTTTCAAATTGGTGCATTCAACTTATGATAGCCAGTGGGACAACGACCCATTTATTTATTTATTTATTTATTTATTTATTTATTTATTATTACTTTTTTTTAGTGGGGGGGTGGTAGAAGGATTACTGTTATACTATTCCAGGTATTTCTTAAAGAGGTAGGGTTTCAAGTGTCTCCGGAAGGTAGTCAGTGACCCCGCTGTCGTGGGGGAGCTTGTTCCACCATTGGGGTGCCAGAGCAGTGAATAGCTTTGACTGGGCTGAGCGGGAACTGTGCTTCCGTAGAGGTAGGGGGGCCAGCAGGCCAGAGGTGGATGAACGTAGTGCCCTCGTTTGGGTGTAGGGTCTGATCAGAGCCTGAAGGTAAGGAGGTGCCGTTCCCCTCACAGCTCCGTAGGCAAGCACCATGGTTTTGTAGTAGATACGAGCTTCAACTGGAAGCCAGTGGAGTGTGCGGAGGAGTTGGGTGACATGAGAGAACTTGGGAAGGTTGAACACCAGACGGGCTGCAGCGTTCTGGATAAGTTGTAGGGGTTTAATGGCGCAGGGAGCCCAGCCAACAGCGAGTTGCAGTAATCCAGACGGGAGATGACAAGTGCCTGGATTAGGACCTGTGCCGCTTTCTGTGTAAGGTAGGGTCGTACTCTGCGAATGTTGTAGAGCATGAACTTGCAGGATCGGGTCACCGCTTTGATGTTAGCGGAGAACGACAGGGTGTTGTCCAGGGTCACGCCAAGGTTCTTTGCACTCTGGGAGGAGGACACAATGGAGTTGTCAACCGTGATGGCGAGATCATGGAGCGGGCAGTCCTTGGAGTTTGCCAAAATGCACCTAAAGGACTCTCAGACCATGAGAAACAAGATTATCTGGTCTGATGAAACCAAGATTGAACTCTTTGGCCTGAATGCCAAGCGTCACGTCTGGAGGAAACCTGGCACCATCCCTACGGTGAAGCATGGTGGTGGCAGCATCATGCTGTGGGGATGTTTTTCAGCAGCAGGGACTGGGAGACTAGTCAGGATTGAGGGAAAGATGAACGGAGCAAAGTACAGAGAGATCCTTGATGAAAACCTGTTCCAGAGCGCTCAGGACCTCAGACTGGGGCGACGGTTCGCCTTTCAACAGAACAACGACCCTAAGCACACAGCCAAGACAACGCTTGAGTGGTTTCGGGACATGTCTCTGAATGTCCTTGAGTGGCCCAGCCAGAGCCCAGACTTGAACCCAATCAAACGTCTCTGGAGAGACCTGAAAATAGCTGTGCAGCGACTCTCACCATCCAACCTGACAGAGCTTGAGAAGAATGGGAGAAACTCCTCACATACAGGTGTGCCAAGCTTGTAGCGTCATACCCAAAAAGACTCGAAGCTGTAATCGCTGCCAAAGTTGCTTCAACAAAGTACTGAGTGAATGGTCTGAATACTTATGTAAATGTGATATTTCCGTTTTAAAAAATACATTTGAATACATTTCTAAAAACCATTTTGGGGTAGTGTGTGTGTGTGTGTGTAGATTCTTGAGGGGAAAAAAAAAAAACAATTTTAATCAATTTTAGATTAAGGTAACAAATGTGGAAGAAGTCAAGGGATCAGAATACACTGTATAAAGAAATAATATATGTAGGTATAATATATCCTCATAGGCCATTGACAGATATTCTTATTCATGTGTTTTAATATGTAGTATTGGTCAGGTAATGTCTCATGTTTCATTGCCTCTTGTCCTTTCCAGATTTGGGATGCTATACAGTCCGGTGACGCTCTCAAGGACCCATCACTCCTCTGCAAATTCCTTTTGCTGACTTATGCAGTGCGTAAAACATCAAATCAATAAAACTATTTTTTTGTATAAGTCTATAATATAGTTTAATTACTTTTTTACAATGGGTTCTGTTCACTGCATTTGTGTTCCCTCGCTCTCTCTCTCTGTCTCGTTTATCAAAATTGGATTTTTTTTCGAATTCTTTGTGGATCTCTGTAATCTGAGGCAAATATGTCTCTCTAATATGGTCATACATTTGGCAGGAGGTTAGGAAGTGCAGCTCAGTTTCCACCTCATTTTGTGGGCAGTGTGCACATAGCCTGTCTTCTCTTGAGAGCCAGGTCTGCCTACGGCGGCCTTTCTCAATAGCAAGGCTATGCTCACTGAGTCTGTACATAGTCAAAGCTTTCCTTAAGTTTGGGTCAGTCACAGTTGTCAGGTATTCTGTGACTGTGTACTCTCTGTTTAGGGCCAAATAGCATTCTAGTTTGCTCTGTTTTTTTGTTAATTCTTTCCAATGTGTCAAGTAATTCTCTTTTTGTTTTCTCATGATTTGGTTGGGTCTAATTGTGTTGCTGTTGTTGTCTCTCTCTCTGTGTCTCTCAGGACCTGAAGAAGTACCACTTCTACTACTGGTTCTGTTTCCCAGCTCTCTGTTTCTCTGAGGGAATTAAGATCCTCAAGGAGCCGGCTTCGTTAGAACAAGTCTTCTCTTCTAAACAGGTACTCACAGTTTTATAGATAGATAAGAGGATGTCCATTGGACCACGCTGAAGTAGGTTACTGAGTGTTGTGTGGGTGTATGTGAGTCAGCCAGAGCAGCACTAGAGTGTGAACAGGATCTCTGCTTATCACCTGCCTCTTGCCCCACAATAATATGGAATGTTCTGGAAAGTCAGCTTTACGACTGTAAAGGTCAACACAGAACACAGATAGTAGAGGAATACAGAGTCCATCTGGGGTGAACCAGGGTTTCTTTATTTATTTTTTTACAATTTTCTACATTGTAGAGTAATAGTGAACACAACAAAACTATGAAATAACACATATGGAATCATGTAGTAACCAAAAGAAGTGTTAAACAAATCAAAATATAGCCACCCTTTGCCTTGATGACCTTTGCACACTCTTGGCATTCTCTCAACCAGCTTCACCTGGAATGCTTTTCCAACAGTCTTGAAGGTGTTCCCACATATGCTGAGCATTTGTTGGCTGCTTTTCCTTCACTCTGCGGTCCAACTCATCCCAAACCATCTCAATTGGGTTGAGGTCGGAGTGCTGCATCAGATGACGTGGCCTCCACAATAACCCATCACTCTCCTCCTTCGTCAAATAGCCTTTACACAGCCTGGAGGTGTGTTGGGTCATTGTCCTGTTGAAAAACAAATGATAGTCCCACTAAGCACAAACCAGATGGGATGGCGTATCGCTGCAGAATGTGTCGTAGAAATATTTGACTCAAAAGGTAGTCAACTCAAAAATATCTCTCAAGAAACTGGAGCTTGTTAATCCAAAAATTATACTTTATTATTTGCGTAACAAAGCCGAGCCACTCCATTTCTGCTCTCCTTGGCTCAAAGCTTTCCTTTTATACAATACAAATACATAGTCATCCTTACATAGCATATACAGTTACTCCCCTTAGGGTAAATGATTAACTTCTTTCATGGCCACCCTTATCTTTCAACGTCTAGATGTCACATGTTGTTTTCTCCAAAAAAGGCGATGAGACCTCTTTCCCTTATCTCATTATATTGGTGGCAGACCCTTTCTTAAAAATAATACACATACATACATTAAGGCATGGCTACACACTACATTGGCTATATTCCTTATTTGAGCATGCATCTGGATTACAAAGTATCAACCATGGTTACTATATTTGACCTTTTAGCACTTCCCAACATTTGCCTTATAAAATATCTCTATAAATGCTGTGGCGGCCATGCTGGTTAAGTGTGCCTTGGATTCTAAATACATCACTGACAGTGTCACCAGCAAAGCACCATCACACCTCCTCCTCCATGCTTCACGGTGGGAACCACACATGTGGAGATCATCCGTTCACCTACTCTGCGTCTCACAAAGACAGCGGTTGGAACCAAAAATCTCAAATTTTGGACTCATCAGACCGAAGGACAGATTTCCACCGGTCTAATGTCCATTGCTCGTGTTTCTTGGCCCAAGCAAGTCTCTTCTTCTTATTGGTGTCCTTTAGTAGTGGTTTCTTTGCAGGAATTCGACCATGAAGGCCTGATTCACGCAGTCTCCTCTGAACAGTTGATGTTGAGATGTCTGTTACTTGAACTCTGTGAAGCATTTATTTGGGCTGCAATCTGAGGTGCAGTTAACTCTAATGAACTTATCCTCTGCAGCAGAGGTAACTCTGGGTCTTCCTTTCCTGTGGCGGTCCTCGTGAGAGCCAGTTTCATCATAGCACTTGATGGTTTTTGCGACCACACTTGAAGAAACTTTCAAAGTTCTGGAAATGTTCCATATTGACTGACCTTCATGTCTTAAAGTAATGATGGACTGTCGTTTCTCTTTGCTTATTTGAGCTGTTCTTGCCATAATATGGACTTGGTCTTTTATCAAATTCGGCTATCTTCTGTATACCCCCCCCCCCTACCTTGTTACAACACAACTGATTGGCTGAAACGCATTAAGAAGGAAAGAAATTCCACAAATTAACTTTTAACAAGGCACACCTGTTAATTGAAATGCATTCCAGGTGACTACCTCATGAAGCTGGTTGAGAGAATGCCAAGAGTGTGCAAAGCTGTCATCAACAATGTAGAAAATAGTAAAAAAAATAAAGAAAAACCCTTGAATGAGTAGGTGTGTCCAAACTTTTGACTGTTACTGTATGGGGAAGGACTGAGAGTAGTGTTGCAAAATTCCGGTTACGTCCCCGAACTTAGGAGGACACCAGGATTTATGGAAAACCTAGGAATATTTGGGGAAGTTACAGGAATTTTGCAACCCTAGGAAGGACTCCTATTCAGACAGTCTGGGGTGAACTGAAGGTTAGGTTGAGGACTGAATGTCTCTATCTAAACGCTACAGGCATATTATTATATCCTACACAGACACGAGGTTTATCTAAATAATTCCCAGTAGTTCTGTGTTTTATCTATACCCTGTCTCTTCCCTCCCAGACCTCAGCTTTACAGGCAGCCTATGACAGTCTGTGCAGTGAAACGGGGACCTCGGCTGTTCCTTACTTCCTGATCAAGTACACAGAGGAGGCTGTCCAGGTGGCCCAGCTACGAGACTGGGACCGCTTCAACACTGATCTCAACCAGGTGGGGACCAAGAGTTATGCGGATAAGAATGGCCCATGTTGTTGGGTCTGTAATTGGAGGACCGTTCTTGTTTTTCTCTTTCTATGTGGGAGAAAGATAGATAGATAGAAATGCCAATCATTACTAACCACATTTCCATCCACAGTTTTTCTGCAGTAAAGTCTACACACAATCACCACAGCTGTGATGGAAACAGGAAGTTTCGGTGTAATTGTATAAATATTTGTTTGTTTTCGACATGGTGGGATCTTTTTGTGTCGGTGAAATGTGTTATGCGGAGAAATGGCGTTGGAAATGCCTTTATGCGCAAATACTGACATAACAACCATCATATCGACGTAAACCTGGAGTCACGCGATGATATGTACGACTCACTAAACCATGCAGTTTATTAGGCAACAGATGAAATAAGTTATATATAAATATCCAGGGTCTTATTCTGGTGACATGATGATCGATGCTTGACTGTCGTTTGACAAATATAAAAATATGAATAAGTCTACATAATAATCTTATCAAGTAGACTAACCATCCCGCACTGTATCAGAGCTGTTGGCTAGACCGCAAGAACAGTTTGTGACAAAACTATCGGTAGAGTTGAAAATGGAAACACATTGAACTTTTTAGACTTTAATTCTTTTATTATACTTTTTTTTTTTTTTTTTTGACACTTTTTTTTTATAGACTTTTATTCGGTACACGAAAACTTAAGCAAAAAAGTATATTTTGTGAGCACTACGTCATCACTCACTGATTTTTAACTGCAACAAGTCCGTTTGGTTGAAACACACCACTGGTGGGAAAATGCGCATATTTTTAATTATGCAGATTTTTAGAATATTCGCATGAAAAATCGCCAATTGGATGGAAACCATAGCTACTGTGGTACAATAAACATACAGGACGTCTGGGCGTTTTAACATGTCAGCGGACAAAGAGTTGATAAGAATGGGACAGTGGTAAAATAAAGTCACTAATTTCTCCTCTTGTGGGTTTATTACCAACGTTTTAAGGTCAAATAGCCTTTCATTATGGCTCAAAAGCCTGGTCATGCTGATAAGAGTGGGTTAGACTGCATTACTGGGCCGCTTCTTTACAGATCTCAAGAAGGTCAGGGGTTATGGGCTGGGGGACAGAGTACGCTAATAAGACCTTATTTACGCCTACAGGTAACCGCCAAAATAAAGGAAACGCCAACATATATATAAAGCGTCTTAACAAGCCAGAACAGCTGCAATGCGCCTTGGCATATCCTCGATTCTACAGGTGTCTCCACGAGAAATTCCATCATTTGGTGTTTTGTTGATGTTGGTGGAAAACGCTGTCTCGGGCGCCTGCTCCAGTGTCTCCCATAGGTGTTCTGTTGGGTTGAGATCCGGTGACTGAGACGGCCATGGCATATGGTTCACATCGTTTTCCACGCTCATCGAACCATTCAGTGACCACTCGTGCCCTGTGGATGGGGGCGTTGTCATCCTGGAAGAGACCACTCCCATCAGGATATAAATTATTTACCATAGGTTGAAGGTGATCACCCAGAATGTATTTATTGGCGTTTTACCTTTTGCCTGACGACTCGCCGTGAACTTAATTCCGCTGCTCTATTGATCGCTACGTACATTTCAGTCTGAGACTGCCATCCTGGAAACCGTTTGTGTGACTTCAAAATGAGGGGCGTTGTACAAAACCATATTAATCAGCAATTGGATCATCTCTAACAAATCTAACCAATCAAAGTTGATAACGTCATCATGTAGCAGCTCTGGCCCAACCAATCGGTTTCTGGGACCCAATCGTATCGGTCAGAATGTGTTTGAATTCTAGAAATCGTCAGGAATCGTCTAGGTACATGGTGGAGAGGAAGCATCAGTTGGCCGGAGCGATGTGGATCGATAGCCAGGCAAGTTTACCTCGCCCTCTAAGGGGTTGAGTGGACCTAAACCATGGCAGGGAGATGCACCCCACACCACAACAGAGCTGCCTGAACACTCATTTACTCATGTTTCCTTTTATTTTGGCATTTAACTGTACTTACTCCTCTTTGATCACTGTGGCATAAGATATCTTATCAATATGCTGATAAGGATGTCCTAGATCAGGGGTGCCCGACCAGTCGATCGCGATCTTCCGGTCGATCGCGGAGTGCTTGCCAGTCGATCGCGATCTTCCGGTCGATCGCGGAGTGCTTGCCAGTCGATCGTGAGATGATTATACATCTACTAAAATTCAGCCACACAAATCAATGCCTATAAGCTCTTTCTGTTTTAACTTTCGAACAGTCCTCCATTCATAGCAATGTCTGAAAAGTCACGTGATTTACATAAAATAGTCCCTGCAGTCCCCGTAGCGCGGTCAGATGCCGCCCGCCAACTCCCAAGTCGAGGTCACGGTGATGCCAGGCAGGTAGCTAGCTAGCTAGCTTTGTAGCCAGAGTCGTTTTTTTAAGTTGTTCTTAAGTTGTCGACAACAGCAATAATGAGTGAAGGGAAGGATACAGAAAAACTGAAAACGTATCATTTCCACAACGATTGGGAGCAGGGTTATTTTTTTTCCGTCATGTCCAAACTCAAAATGTGTGTGTTCCTCATCTGCCATAATAGCATCGCTATCCCATAGAAAGGTTTACAGAACAACATTTTAAAAACCACACACGGGAAGATGTTAAACGTGAAAGAGGTGATGGATGTTGCGATGAAAGATTGTGTGTTCTGTTCGAGGCTGAAGTGGATCACACAGACCTGCTGCTGCACACGGATGCGCGGTGCCTGAGCCAAGGTAAATGTTTAGGGAGATTCAGTGAGTTGTTGCCTGAAATCAAGGAGTTTTCTCAAGGTCTCCAAACATGCAGAATATGCACTGCTGGAGGACACACAGTGGCTCCTGGATGTAGCTTTTCTCACTGACCTGACTTACATGCTTAATGTAAGGGGGCGGCAGGTAGCTTAGTGGTTAAGAGCTTTGGGCCAGTAATCGAAAGGTCGCTGGTTCTAATCCCCGAGCCGACCTAGGTGAAAAATCTGTCGGTGTGCCCTTGAGCAAGGCACTTAACCCTAATTGCTCCTGTAAGTCGCTCTGGATAAGAGCGTCTGCTAAATGACCAAAAAAATAAATAATGATTTTAATGTAGAGCTGCAAAGGAAAAATGCAAACATGTAATCGACTTGATCAGCTCTGTGAACACTTTGAAATGCAAACTACAGCTGCTCACAAGAAAGCTGCAACGTAAGGTCCTGCCCTTCTTTCAACACATGCGTTCAGAACTTGGAAGGATCCAGCACAGCCTGACGGTGCACGTTACGTGGAGCAAGTCCAGAGCATCTTATCGGAGTTTTGACAGTTTCATTTCACTGACTTTGCATCTCTTGAGCCTATTGTCACTTTTATGTGTGCTTTCCGTTTGGAAGTCATTGCCTCCAAAAATGGGATCACTTTTTCAGTTGGACACAACTATAGCAGAAACTGAAATTCTCACCCTTCAAAATGAAATTCGGCTGAAATCCAGGGCAACCACTGAGATGAAGGAAGAGTTCTGGGAGCTGCTGCTTGAGGGGAGGTATCCCAACATAACATGTGCTTTCAACTTATCAGCCCTTGTTGGATCAACCTAACTCTGTGAGTCTGCGTTTTCTCACATAAACATAAAGTCCAAGTACAGATCTACTATGACTGATGACTACCTTGTGGTCTGCATCAAGTTACTACAAGCTGCATCAAGCTGCTACAGGCTGCATCAAGCTGCTACAGGCTGCAACAAGCTGCTACAGGCTGCATCAAGCTGCTACAGGCTGCTACAGGCTGCATCAAGCTGCTACAGGCTGCTACAGGCTGCATCAAGCTGCTGCATCAAGCTGCTACAGGCTGCATCAAGCTGCTGCTACAGGCTGCTACAGGCTGCATCAAGCTGCTACAGGCTGCATCAAGCTGCTACAGGCTGCATCAAGCTGCTACAGGCTGCATCAAGCTGCATCAAGGTGCTACAGGCTGCATCAAGCTGCTACAGGCAGCATCAAGCTGCTACAGGCTGCTACAGCCCTGACTATGAACAACTACTTGCCTCCACCCAATGCCAAAAGTCACACTGAGGTAGGAAATGAAATTAGTTGCACTTATTTGTGGAAAACTATGTTATTGGTCCACATTTATATTTGGGTATCAAATAGGTATCGTAGCGGCAGGTCCATACTCAGTGGTGTGTTGCGTTTCGTACATTTTGTTGGTTGGTTTAGATTTAGAGACTGGTAGATCTCATCAGGCTGGCAAATGAAAAAGTAGATCTCACGTCAAAGGTTGGGCACACCTGTCCTAGATTTAGTGGCACAATAAATGCAACAATAAACATTACACTGTACATCTGGGAATTTTTACATGTCCTTTGCACTTGACTTCCTGGTTCACTCCGGTAAGGTCTCTATGAAGTCACTGATGTTTCTTGGCACAGTCCCCAATCCTCAGACCTCTTGTGAAACGTCTCCCTTGGAGAAGCGGTATTTTGGCCTCGATGAGACTTCCTGGGTAAAAGGTTAGATTAAAATATGGTTTGTTCATATTGCAGATAACCGTGGGTGTTTATGATCCTTGCACTCTGCCCCAGCATCCAGGATGGCCTCTGAGGAATCTGCTATTTCTCCTAGCCTGCAAATGGTAAATGTCCCAAACATAACATCATCAATCACATCCCACACTACCGGGAGGGGATGAGTACACCTCCCTCCGCTGTATGTTTCAGTAGTTATAACTGACTAACAGGTTATCATAGAACACATCCCTCCCCTGTATATTCCAGTAGTGATAACTGACTAACAGGTTATTATAGAACACATCCCTCCGCTGTATATTCCAGTAGTTATAACTGACTAACAGGTTATTATAGAACACATCCCTCCCCTGTATATTCCAGTAGTGATAACTGACTAACAGGTTATCATAGAACACATCCCTCCGCTGTATATTCCAGTAGTTATAACTGACTAACAGGTTATCATAGAACACATCCCTCCGCTGTATATTCCAGTAGTGATAACTGACTAACAGGTTATTATAGTCAGTTATATGTTGCAAGATAAAGGCTTGATGGAGGAATCTGCTGTGTCTCATAGCCAGCAAATGGTAAATCCCCACGCTACCTTGCATGAAGTGAAACTGGCAAGCACAGTGTGCGGGGTCATCTCCTCTTTTTAAATCCCTATAAAATATAACGTCAATCAGATCAACTCCCACACTATCTCTACCGGGAAAGGATCAGTACCAATCCCCCCCCCCCCCCTCCCCTGTATATTCCAGTACAACTCTCTCTTCCTTTCCTGTGCATGACTAAGCCGTTAGTAATAAATATTATTGTAAATTGTTTAATATTAGCTAGATAAAGCTTGGCTGTGAACGGAGTCATGGGGTATGTTCCTACAGCGTTGACCTGTACAGCATGTCAAGCTTACGTAAACATTATGATACGGAGCTATGTACATGTTAGCATTCCTCTGTGCATGCACACACGTGTGTGTGTGTGTGTGTGTGCCCGTCAAAGTGGTGTGAGCAATTATCCTGGATACGCGTTAACGTATACATGTAGTATTTTAAACAAATATGTATGACATTCCATGTACATATTTGTGTGTGTGTGTGTGTGTATACCAGGGGCTCCCAACTGGATGTGGTGGAAGTGGTGTGTTTCAGAGACAGGACTCTTCAGGGTAGTAGGAACGTTCAGCACAGCATCGTGTTCCAGGTCAAACTACCGGTACCCGAGCAGTCTGTCAATGCAGGTAAACACACACATCCCACGGTTACCCTCCTGCGGAACCACAGGGCTGAGCAAACACACAAAGCCTGGCCTTTTATCTGGAGGATGTATGCACGCACGACTGTAAGTCGCTTTGGATAAAAGCGTCTGCTAAATGGCTTATTATTATTATAATAATAATAACATGATTTTTAACAACTACCTCATCTCTGTACCCCACACATACAAATATCTGTAAGGTCCCTCAGTCGAGCAGTGAATTTCAAGCACAGATTCAACCACAAAGACCAGGGAGGTTTTCCAATGTCTCGCAAAGAAGGGCACCTATTGGTTGGGTAAAATTTTTAAAAAATAAGCAGACACTGTATATCCCTTTGAGCATGGTGAAGTTATTAAATACACTTTGGATGGTGTATCAATACACCCATTCACTACAAAGATACAGTCATCCTTCCTAACTCAGTTTCCGGAGAGGAAGGAAACCGCTCGAGGATTTCAACACGAGGCCAATGGTGACTTTACAACAGTTACAGAGTTTAATGGCTGTGATTGGAGAAAACGGAGGCTGGATCAACAACATTGTAGTTACTCCACAATACTAACCTAAATGACAGAGAGAAAAGAAGGAAACCTCTACAGAATAAAAATATTCCAAAACATCCTGTTTGCAACAAGGCACTAAAATAAAACTGCAAAAAATGTGGCAAAAAAATTAACTTTATGTCCTGAATACAAAGCGTTATGTTTGTGGCAAATCCAACACATTTACTGAGTACCGTTCTTCATATTTTCAAGCATAGTGGTGGCTGCATCATGTTATGGGTATGCTTGTAATCGGCAAGGACTAGGGAGTTTATTAGGATAAAAATAAATGTAATAGAGCTAAGTCCTAGAGGAAAACCTGGTCCAGTCTGCTTTCCACCAGACACTGGGAGACTAGAGGGAAACCTGGTTCAGTCTGCTTTCCACCAGACACTGGGAGACTAGAGGAAAACCTGGTTCAGTCTGCTTTCCACCAGACACTGGGAGACTAGAGGAAAACCTGGTTCAGTCTGCTTTCCACCAGACACTGGGAGACTAGAGGAAAACCTGGTTCAGTCTGCTTTCCACCAGACACTGGGAGACTAGAGGAAAACCTGGTTCAGTCTGCTTTCCAACAGACACTGGGAGACTAGAGGAAAACCTGGTTCAGTCTGCTTTCCAACAGACACTGGGAGACTAGAGGAAAACCTGGTTCAGTCTGCTTTCCAACAGACACTGGGAGACTAGAGGAAAACCTGGTTCAGTCTGCTTTCCAACAGACACTGGGGAGACTAGAGGAAAACCTGGTTCAGTCTGCTTTCCAACAGACACTGGGAGACTAGAGGAAAACCTGGTTCAGTCTGCTTTCCAACAGGACACTGGGAGACTAGAGGAAAACCTGGTTCAGTCTGCTTTCCAACAGACACTGGGAGACTAGAGGAAAACCTGGTTCAGTCTGCTTTCCAACAGACACTGGGAGACTAGAGGAAAACCTGGTTCAGTCTGCTTTCCAACAGACACTGGGAGACTAGAGGAAAACCTGGTTCAGTCTGCTTTCCAACAGACACTGGGAGACTAGAGGAAAACCTGGTTCAGTCTGCTTTCCAACAGACACTGGGAGACAAATTCACCTTTCAGCTGGACAATAACCTTAAACACATGGCCAAATATACAGTGGAGTTGGTTACCAAGATGACAGTGAATGTTCCTGAATTTCTAAAAGAATAATGTGCAAATAATGTACAATCCAGCTGTGCAAAGCTCTAAGAGACTTCACAGACAGACTCACAGCTTCCATAGGTGATTCAAACATCTATTTAATCCGTTTAGAATTCAGGCAGTAACACAACAAAATGTGGAATAAATCGAGGGGTATGAATACTTTCTCTGAAGACACTGGAGTTGCTTACCAAGACTACATTGAATGTTCCTGTGTGGCCAAATTTAGAGTTTTGACTTAAATCGTCTTGAAAATCTATGGCAAGACTTAAATGGCTGTCTAGCAATGATCGACAACCAACTTGACAGAGTTTTTGAAGAATTTTTAAAAGAATAATGGGCAAATATTTTACAATCCAGATGTGCAAAGCTCGTTCGAGACTTACCCCAGAAAGGCTTTTTTTAGTTTCCATTAATAAAAATAAATGTCAATTTTTCCTTCCACTTTCAGATGACAAAATATTTTGTGTAGATCGTTGACAAAAAAAAATAAAGACAAATCCATTTTAATCCCAATTTGTAACACAACAAATTGTGAAAAAAAGTAAAGGGGTGTGAAATACTTTCTGAAGGGACTGTATGTAGGGAATAGGGTGGTATTTGAGCCGCATCCCCTCCCAGTCTCCGTAGCCCCTCCCAGTCTCCGTAGCCCCTCCCAGTCTCTGTGGAGAGTCCTCTCTCTGACTCTCTGGCTAGTCATTCCTTTCATTATCCTCCTTTCTCCAGTGTCTGCTTTAGGTTAGAAGGGTGTGTGTGTGTGTGTTTGTTTTAACTATCCTTGTGGGTACCAGAAGTCCTTACACGGAAAATTCGGACAAGTGGGGACATTTTGCCCGTCCCCACAAGGAAATATTATGGTTAGGTTAAAGGTTAGATTTAGGGTTAGGGAAAATAGGATTTTGGATGGGAATCAATTCTTTGGTCCCCACAAGGATAGCAATACAAACGTGTGTGTCTGTGTGTGACCCTTATAATGGAGTGGATCACAGTCAAAGGATGACCCAGTTTTCATTCACTTGTATTTACATTTTCTATTGAATTTATTTCATAGTTTTTTTAAATTGTAAATTAGCCTTTACCATAGAAGGTCAAGTACTGTATGTTGTTGATGTTGACCTGTGAGATCGGATTCAGTTGAACAGAAATTAACAGACATCAAAGTGATCAATAGTCTATCATTATCAACAGTCTCCACTAATCAATAATCTGTCATTATCAACAGTCTCCACTAATCAATAGTCTCATTATCAACAGTCTCCACTAATCAATAGTCTGTCATTATCAGCAGTCTCCTAATCAATAGTATACACTAATCAATAGTCTGCCATTATCGATAATATGTCATTATCAACAGTCTCCACTAATCAATACTATGTCATTATCAACTGTCTCCACTAATCAATAGTCTGTCATTATCAACTGTCTCCACTAATCAATAGTCTGTCATTATCAACTGTCTCCACTAATCAATAGTCTGTCATTATCAACTCTCTCCACTAATCAATAGTCTGTCATTATCAACTGTCTCCACTAATCAATAGTCTGTCATTATCAACTGTCTCCACTAATCAATAGTCTGTCATTATCAACTGTCTCCACTAATCAATAGTCTGTCATTATCAACTGTCTCCACTAATCAATAGTCTGTCATTATCAACCGTCTCCACTAATCATAAGTCTGTCATTATCAACAGTCTCCACTAATCAATAGTCCTGTCATTATCAGCACCTCCTTAATCAATAGTCCTGTCATTATCAACTGTCTCCACTAATGCATAGTCCTGTCAATTATCAACCGTCTCCACTAAATCCAATAGGCTTCATTATCATCAACTGTCTCCACTAATCAATAGTCTGTCCATTAATCAACTGTCTCCACTAAAATCAATAGTCTGTCATTATCAAAACTGTCTCCACTAATCAATAGTCTGTCCATTGTCAAACTGTTCTCCACTAATCAATACTATGTCATTATCAACAGTCTGTCATTATCAAGTCTCCACTAATCAATAGTCTGTCATTGTCAACGGTCTTTGCTTTCTGTTCCCTCAGTGTGTCCAAAGAGTGTAGGATGGGAGAAAAACCCTAAAGGGGCCCTGGGGCCCCGGATGGTCAACCTCAGTGAATGTATGGACCCTAAGAGGTACAATCAATCAATCAAATCAATCAGGGTACATCGTGAGACTAACTCTATATGCATCAGAAAATGTTGTGTTATCTAGTGTCTATCTAACATTCTTTTAATCTAACACACCAGACTGGCAGAGTCGTCAGTGGATCTCAACCTGAAGTTGATGCGCTGGAGGCTGGTGCCTTCTCTGGATCTGGACAAAGTGACCTCTACCAAGTGTCTGCTGCTTGGGGCTGGTACACTGGGCTGCAACGTAGCCAGGACTCTAATGGTGAGCACCTGCTATGTTTTAGATTACCTAATGGAAACATAGACCAGCAAGAATATATCCTGTATACCTTCTGACCAGACCAGGTCAAAAACTACATGTCAATATACTTCGACATGCTTGAGGTGACTCTAATGCTGAGCTCCTGGTATGTTTTACATACGTTCATTGGAACGTGGAGAATATATACAATTGAAGTCGGAAGTTTACAAACACCTTAGCGAAATACATTTCAACTCAGTTTTTCACAATTCCTGACATTTAATCCTAGTAAAAATTCCCTGTTTTAGGTCGGTTAGGATCACCGCTTTATTTTAAGAATGTGAAATGTCAGAATAATAGTAGAGATATTTATTTAATCACATTCCCAGTGGGTCAGAAGTTTACATACACTCAATTAGTATTTGGTAGCATTGCCTTTAAAATGTTTAACTTGGGTCAAACGTTTCTGGTAGCCTTCCACAAGCTTCCCACAATAAGTTGGGTGAATTTTGGCCCATTCCTCCTGACAGAGCTGGTGTAACTGAGTCAGGTTTGTAGGCCTCCTTGCTCGCACACGCTTTTTCAGTTCTGCCCACAAATGTTCTATAGGATTGAGGTCAGGGCTTTGTGATGGCCACTCCAATACCTTGACTTTGTTGTCCTTAAGCCATTTTGCCACAACTTTGGAAGTATGCTTGGGGTCATTGTCCATTTGGAAGACCCATTTGCAACCAAGCTTTAACTTCCTGACTGATGTCTTGAGATGTTGCTTCAATATATCCACATAATTTTCCTTCCTCATGATGCCATCTATTTTGTGAAGTGCACCAGTCCCTCCTGCAGCAAAGCACCCCCACAGCATGATGCTGCCACCCCCTGTGCTTCACGGTTGGGATGGTGTTCTTCGGCTTGCAAGCGTCCCCGTTTTTCCTCCAAACATAACGATGGTCATTATGGCCAAACAGTTCTATTTTTGTTTCATCAGACCAGAGGACATTTCTTGCGCCCATGTGCAGTTGCAAAGCATAGTCTGGCTTTTTTATGGTGGTTTTGGAGCAGTGGCTTCTTCATTGCTGAGCGTCCTTTCAGGTTATGTCGATATACAGTGAGGGGAAAAAAGTATTTGATCCCCTGCTGATGTTGTATGTTTGCCCACTGACAAATACATGATCAGTCTATCATTTTAATGGTAGGTTTATTTGAACAGTGAGAGACAGAATAACAACAAAAAAATACTGAAAAACGCATGTCAAAAATTTTATAAATTGATTTGTATTTTAATGAGGGAAATAAGTATTTGACCCCCTCTCAATCAGAAAGATTTCTGGCTCCCAGGTGTCTTTTATACAGATAACGAGCTGAGATTAGGAGCACAGTCTTAAAGGGAGTGCTCCTAATCTCAGCTTGTTACCTGTATAAAAGATACCTGTCCACAGTAGCAATCAATCAATCAGATTCCAAACTCTCCACTATGGCCAAGACCAAAGAGCTCTCCAAGGATGTCAGGAACAAGATTGTAGACCTACACAAGGCTGGAATGGGCTAGCCAGTCTCCAGACCTGGGGCACCATGCAAGATCTCACCTCGTGGAGTTGCAATGATCATGAAAACGGTGAGGAATTAGCCCAGAACTACACGGGAGGATCTTGTCAATGATCTCAAGGCAGCTGGGACCATAGTCACCAAGAAAACAATTGGTAACACACTATGCCGTGAAGGACTGAAATCCAGCAGCGCCCGCAAGGTCCCCCTGCTCAAGAAAGCACATATACAGGCCCGTCTGAAATTTGCCAATGAACATCTGAATGATTCAGAGGAGAACTGGGTGAAAGTGTTGTGGTCAGATGAGACCAAAATGGAGCTCTTTGGCATCAACTCAACTCGCCATGTTTGGAAGAGGAGGAATGCTGCCTATGACCCCAAGAACACCATCCCCACCGTCAAACATGGAGGTGGAAACATTATGCTTTGGGGGTGTTTTTCTGCTAAGGGGACAGGACAACTTCATCGCATCAAAGGGACGATGGACGGGGCCATGTACCATCAAATCTTGGGTGAGAACCTCCTTCCCTCAGCCAGGGCATTGAAAATGGGTCGTGGATGGGTATTCCAGCATGACAATGACCCAAAACACACGGCCAAGGCAACAAAGGAGTGGCTCAAGAAGAAGCACATTAAGGTCGTGGAGTGGCCTAGCCAGTCTCCAGACCTTAATCCCATAGAAAATCTGTGGAGGGAGCTGAAGGATCGAGTTGCCAAACGTCAGCCTCGAAACCTTAATGACTTGAAGAAGATCTGCAAAGAGGAGTGGGACAAAATCCCTCCTGAGATGTGTGCAAACCTGGTGGCCAACTACAAGAAACGTCTGACCTCTGTGATTGCCAACAAGGGTTTTGCCACCAAGTACTAAGTCATGTTTTGCAGAGGGGTAGGAGACAGAACGCGTCTCCTTCCTGAGCGGTATGACTGCTGCGTGGTCCCAATGGTGTTTTTATACTTACGTATTGTTGTTTGTACAGATGAACGTGGTACCTTCAGGCGTTTGGAAATTGCTCCCAAGGATGAACCAGACTTGTGGAGGTCTACAATTTTTTTTCTGAGGTCCTGGCTGCAGCATTGAAGGTCCACAAGAACACAGTGGCCTCCATCATTCTTAAATGGAAGAAGTTTGGAACCACCAAGACTCTTCCTAGAGCTGGCCGCCCAGCCAAACTGAGCAATCGGTGGAGAAGGGCCTTGGTCAGGGAGGTGACCAAGAATCTGATGGTCACTCTGACAGAGCTCTAGAGTTCCTCTGTGGAGATGGGAGAACCTTCCAGAAGGACAACCATCTCTGCAGCACTCAACCAATCAGGCCTTTTATGGTAGAGTGGCCAGACGGAAGCCACTCCTCAGTAAAAGGCACATGACAGCCCGCTTGGAGTTTGCTAAAAGGCACCTAAACAAGATTCTCTGGTCTGATGAAACCAAGATAGAACTCTTTGGCCTGAATGCCAAGCGTCACATCTGGAGGAAACCTGGCACCATCCCTACGGTGAAGCATGGTGGTGGCAGCATCATGCTGTGGGGATGTTTTTCAGCGGCAGGGACTAAGAGACTAGTCAGGATCTAAGCAAAAATGAACAGATCGAAGTACAGAGAGATCCTTGATGAAAACCTGCTCCAGAGCGCTCAGGACCTCAGACTGGGGCTAAGGTTCACCTTCCAACAGGACAACAACCCTAAGCACACAGCCAAGACAATGCAGGAGTGGCTTCGGGACAAGTCTCTGAATGTCCTTGAGTGGCCCAGCCGTAGCCCAGACATGAACCTGATCGAACATCTCTGGAGAGACCTGAAAATAGCTGTGCAGCAACGCTCCACATCCAACCTGACGGAGCTTGAGAAGATCTGCAGAGAAGAATGGGAGAAGCTCCCCAAATACAGGTGTGCCAAGCTTGTAGTGTCATACCCAAGAAGACTCGATGTTGTAATCGCTGCCCAAGGTGCTTTAACAAAGTACTGATTAAAGGGTCTGAATACTTATGTAAATGTAATATTTCAGATTTTGTTGCTTTGTCATTATGGGGTTATTGTGTGTAGATTTGATGAGAACATCAAAATCAATTTTAGAATAAGGCTTCAACGTTAACAAAATGTGGAAAAAGTCAAGGGGTCTGAATACTCTACGGTTTATGGACAGGGCCAACATTTAACAGTTTGATTGTGGCCTGTAAAATGTTGTCCCAATCCTCTTCAATGGCTGTGTGAAGTTGCTGGATAATTGCCTGTACTGGAACACGCTGTCGTACACCTCGATCCAGAGCATCCCAAACATGCTCAATGAGTGACGTCTGGTGAGTATGCAGGCCATGGAAGAACTGGGATATTTTGCGCTTCCAGGAATTGTGTACAGATCCTTTTGACATGGGGCCATGCATTATGATGCTGAAACATGAGGTGATGGCAGCGGATGAATGTTACGACAATGGGCCTCAGGATTTCGTCATGGTATCTCTGTGTATTCATATTGCCATCGATTTAAAATGCAATTGTGTTCATTGTCTGTAGCTTGTGCCTGCCCATACCATAACCCCACCGCCAGAATAGGGCACTCTGTTCGCAACATTGACATCAGCAAACCGCTCGCCCCTACGATGCCATACACGATGTCTGCCATGATGCCATCTGCCCGGTACAGTTGAACCGGGATTAATTTGTGAAGAGCACACTTCTCCAGCGTGCCAGTGGCCATCGAAGGTGAGCATTTTCCCACTGAAGTTGGTTACGACGCCGAACTGCAGTCAGGTCAAGACCCTGGTGAGGACGACGAGCACGCAGATGAGCTTCCCTGAGACGGTTTCTGACAGTTTGTGCAAACCCACAGTTTCATCAGCTGACCGGGTGTTCTCAGACGATCCCGCAGGTGAAGAAGTCGGACGTGGAGGTCCTGGGCTGGTGAGGTTACAGTACATGTGGTTATCGGTTGTGAGAAGCGGTTGGGCGATATGGCGTAAAGTTTGGAACTCGGTAGTGATTGTTGCAACCGAGGACAGACGATTTTTACGCGCTTCAGCATTCGGCGGTCACGTTCTGTGAGCTTGTGTGGCCTACCACTTCGTGGCTGAGCCATTGTTGCTCCTAGATGTTTCCACTTCACAATAACAGCACTAACAGTTGACCCGGGGCAGCTCTAGCAGGTCAGAAATGTGACAATCTGACTTGTTGGAAAGGTGGCATCCTAAGACGGTGCCACGTTGAAAGTCACTGAGCTCTTCAGTAAGGCCATTCTACTGCCAGTGTTTGTCTATGAAGATTGCATGGCTGTGTGCTCGATTTTATATACCTGTCAGCAACGGGTGTGGCTGAAATGGACGAATCCACTCATTTGAAGGGCTGTCCACATACTTTTGTATATATAGTGTATGTTAGCTTTGGTGGGCAGTGTTTGGGAACCAACTAGGCTCTATTGTACTGCTCTAAATCAACACAACTCAAGTATTTCACCCATGTCTGCTTTGTCATAGTGCTTTAAGTTCAGTGTTGTACCCAGAGGGCTATCCTACGAAGCAAGCTGGATCTACTCAGGGTTTTCTAAAGCTAACCAGCTTCAGTTAGCTTCACATTCCAGCTCGGGCTTCATCTGTACTACGACGGTGGATATTACTCACCCGCCTCGTTACTATGTTGGTGTGGTGGTCAGGGCTGGTTAACCTCGTTACTATGTTGGTGTGGTGGTCAGGGCTGGTTAACCTCGTTACTATGTTGTTGTGCTGAGCAGGGCTGGTTAACCTTGTTACTATGTTGTTGTGGTGGTCAGGGCTGGTTAACCTCGTTACTATGTTGTTGTGGTGGTCAGGGCTGGTTAACCTCGTTACTATGTTGTTGTGGTGGTCAGGGCTGGTTAACCTCGTTACTATGTTGTTGTGGTGGTCAGGGCTGGTTAACCTCGTTACTATGTTGTTGTGGTGGTCAGGGCTGGTTAACCTCGTTACTATGTTGTTGTGGTGGTCAGGGCTGGTTAACCTCGTTACTATGTTGTTGTGGTGGTCAGGGCTGGTTAACCTCGTTACTATGTTGTTGTGGTGAGCAGGGCTGGTTAACCTTGTTACTATGTTGGTGTGGTGGTCAGGGCTGGTTAACCTTGTTACTATGTTGTTGTGGTGGTCAGGGCTGGTTAACCTCGTTACTATGTTGTTATGGTGAGCAGGGCTGGTTAACCTCGTTACTATGTTGTTGTGGTGGTCAGGGCTGGTTAACCTCGTTACTATGTTGGTGTGGTGGTCAGGGCTGGTTAACCTCGTTACTATGTTGTTATGGTGGTCAGGGCTGGTTAACCTTGTTACTATGTTGGTGTGGTGGTCAGGGCTGGTTAACCTCGTTACTATGTTGGTGTGGTGGTCAGGGCTGGTTAACCTCGTTACTATGTTGTGGTGGTCAGGGCTGGTTAACCTCGTTACTATGTTGTTGTGGTGGTCAGGGCTGGTTAACCTCGTTACTATGTTGGTGTGGTGGTCAGGGCTGGTTAACCTCGTTACTATGTTGTTGTGCTGAGCAGGGCTGGTTAACCTCGTTACTATGTTGTTGTGCTGAGCAGGGCTGGGGAGTGAGATGTAATCTTGTTGATGTGTTGTGCTCTGCAGGGCTGGGGAGTGAGACACATCACGTTCGTGGACAACGCTAAGATCTCTTACTCCAACCCAGTGAGACAGCCACTGTATGAGTTTGAGGACTGTCTGGGAGGAGGCAAGTCCAAGGCCCTCGCTGCCGTCGACAGACTGGGCAAGATCTTCCCTGGAGTGGTGAGTCCCTGACCCCTGACCCCTGACCCTGGGCTCTAAATCCAACCCTAACCCTCCGTCTCAATAACACCACTAACCCTAACCCTGTCATGGTGAGGCCTTACCCCTCTGTCTCAATAACACCACTAACCCTAACCCTGTCATGGTGAGGCCTTACCCCTCTGTCTCAATAACACCACTAACCCTAACCCTGTCATGGTGAGGCCTTACCCCTCCGTCTCAATAACACCACTAACCCTAACCCTGTCATGGTGAGGCCTTACCCCTCCGTCTCAATAACACCACTAACCCTAACCCTGTCATGGTGAGGCCTTACCCCTCCGTCTCAATAACACCACTAACCCTAACCCTGTCATGGTGAGGCCTTACCCCTCCGTCTCAATAACACCACTAACCCTAACCCTGTCATGGTGAGGCCTTACCCCTCTGTCTCAATAACACCACTAACCCTAACCCTGTCATGGTGAGGCCTTACCCCTCTGTCTCAATAACACCACTAACCCTAACCCTGTCAGGGTGAGGCCTTTGCACCCTTTTAACACTAGAATCGCCTGGCCTACAAATCTACTTTGAAACTAAAGTATACACCTCACACACATGGTTATGGGCTTTAAATAAAAGAAGACACCTGTACCATGTCAGATATAGAGTTGAAGTGTATTCCATTTTGAGTTTGCCTCCCAATATTACACTTTATATACATCACAGAAGACTGAAATATAACAAAAACTGTTTGTCATAGAAACACCAGATTTGTGTCTTTTTTAACACTAGAACAGCCTATAAGAACCCACTAGAGAACGTTAAGAACGTTGGCATCAGATGCATATCAACCTGCAAGGTGTGCAAACAAGAACCACACTTGATAAATAGTGGATAAACAATTGTAAAGGATGAATTGCATGAAGAAATAGTAGTAGAAATATATCCATGTAAAATATAACAATAGTTATTTAGATGGTCAAGAATGTTTTGCATATTTCAAAAAAAAAAAAAAAAATAAAATAAAAATAATAGCCTATTTTCGTTTCCCTTACAAGAAAAACATTACAATGTAATCCATTTGATCAACTTTTATTATAGATTCGATTATTATTAGTTATAGTAAATAATGCAGTCCAGTTACAGCTTTATTCCGACAAAAGCACCAGTCATTGAACGGTTGTAAAAGGATGAATTTCATAAAGAAATATTGGTGGAAATATATCCATGAAAATATATAAAATCGGTCATTTGTAGATTGTATCGGACACTGTAATGCACCCTTATACCCGTGCTTGTGTAGCACATGGGATGTGTGCAACTCACTCCTAAGCCTGAAGTGTCCCAACTTGCGCCAGCATATATAGCTAGCTGACTGGTAAGATGCTTCAGGGGGGCTGTCTAGCAAGGCAGAGGACCTGGGTTCCAGCCTCGGTGTGAACCTAATCAGGACGAAGCGGGACTCTCTTAAGCAAGCAGCGGGACGTCCTTTACACCTTTTACTCATGGATCAATCTGGTCTTTATGCTTGGGGTCCACAGTCAACACACAGCTTCAGTCTTCTCTTTATGCTTGGTGTCCACAGTCACACACAGCTTCAGTCTTCTCTTTATGCTTGGGGTCCACAGTCAGCACACAGCTTCAGTCTTCTCTTTATGCTTGGGGTCCACAGTCAGCACACAGCTTCAGTCTTCTCTTTATGCTTGGGGTCCACAGTCAGCACACAGCTTCAGTCTTCTCTTTATGCTTGGGGTTCACAGTCAACACACAGCTTCAGTCTTCTCTTTATGGGGTCCACAGTCAACACACAGCTTCAGTCTTCTCTTTATGGGGTCCACAGTCAGCACACAGCTTCAGTCTTCTCTTTATGCTTGGGGTCCACAGTCAGCACACAGCTTCAGTCTTCTCTTTATGCTTGGGGTCCACAGTCAGCACACAGCTTCAGTCTTCTCTTTATGGGTTCCACAGTCAGCACACAGCTTCAGTCTTCTCTTTATGCTTGGGGTCCACAGTCAGCACACAGCTTCAGTCTTCTCTTTATGCTTGGGGTCCACAGTCAGCACACAGCTTCAGTCTTCTCTTTATGCTTGGGGTCCACAGTCAGCACACAGCTTCAGTCTTCTCTTTATGCTTGGGGTCCACAGTCAGCACACAGCTTCAGTCTTCTCTTTATGCTTGGGGTCCACAGTCAGCACACAGCTTCAGTCTTCTCTTTATGCTTGGGGTCCACAGTCAGCACACAGCTTCAGTCTTCTCTTTATGCTTGGGGTCCACAGTCAGCACACAGCTTCAGTCTTCTCTTTATGCTTGGGGTCCACAGTCAGCACACAGCTTCAGTCTTCTCTTTATGCTTGGGGTCCACAGTCTGCACACAGCTTCAGTCTTCTCTTTATGCTTGGGGTCCACAGTCAGTACACAGCTTCAGTCTTCTCTTTATGCTTGGGGTTCACAGTCAACACACAGCTTCAGTCTTCTCTTTATGCTTGGGGTCCACAGTCAGCACACAGCTTCAGTCTTCTCTTTATGCTTGGGGTCCACAGTCTGCACACAGCTTCAGTCTTCTCTTTATGCTTGGGGTCCACAGTCAGCACACAGCTTCAGTCTTCTCTTTATGCTTGGGGTCCACAGTCAGCACACAGCTTCAGTCTTCTCTTTATGCTTGGGGTTCACAGTCAACACACAGCTTCAGTCTTCTCTTTATGCTTGGGGTCCACAGTCAGCACACAGCATCTGGGCTTTGTGTGAGCAAGCCCCACAAACACATCAGTTGCACTGCGCACAGTTTTCATGGGCCTTGTTTCCTGTCCACCTTCACCTGACATTGTCTCATTTTTCCCAAGTGTGAGTTTTTCCCAAGTGTGAGTTTTTCCCAAGTGTGAGTTTTTCCCAAGTGTGAGTTTTTCCCAAGTGTGAGTTGTATTGAGTGGGGAAGAGGGAGAGCAGGACGCGCTGCTGCCTCCTTGGCTGCCTGCTTGGCGGCTGTAGTTTCTTTCTTGGCGTTCGTGGGTGTATCACAAAGCTCACGAGTCAAGATCCATGATGAAATCTCTCCCGTTTGACTGTCTTGTCAACACGTGGGCGATGATGGCAGCCATGTTGTAGAGAACAGCAACAGGCCAGAGTACAGTCCGAGGGGAGATTGTATACCATTTCCAGCCTTTCGTCATAAAATAATTATATACCGCCCACAATCCTTCATCATTACATTATTGTTCTAAATTCAATCATCCTCATCATTCAGATCATTCCAATTCAATTGTGAGGTCACATGCACAATTATCAGTTTCTGTCTGCTTTCTGTTGCCCGTTCACCCCATTAACCCAGTGTAGCTCAGTTGGTAGAGCATGGCGCTTGCAACGCCAGGGTTGTGGGTTCGTTTCCCACGGGGGGCCAGTATGACAAAATGGATGCACTCACTAACTGTAAGTCGCTCTGGATAAGAGCGTCCGCTAAATGACTAAAATGTAAAATTAATGACATTCATTCAGTGAGGAGAGAGACTCCTTAGCGCCTGGGTAGCAAAGCCCTTCGGCACATTTGTCTTGGCCCCTTAAATTGGTAATAGCCGTTAAAAAAAAAAACTGGTTAACCGCCTCTAAATACCTTTTTTGTTTGTGATTGTAACATTTCTGACTGATCAATTTAAAATGTAAATATTCTGGGAAAGTCATGTGAGGAGGAGGATGATGTTGCAATTTTTTTGGCAGATTGTTTTTATTTACAAATTCCAACGTCAGTTGCCGTTGGCCTTTTGGCGGTTCTTGTGTTAACTGGTTCAATGGGGTGACGGCAAACTACACATTTTGTTTTATACTGAACGAAAATATGAACGCAGCATGCAACAATTTCAACGATTTTAACTGATTCAAATAAGGAAATCAGTCAATTAAAATTAATTAATTAGGCCCTAATCTATGGATTTCACATGACTGGGAATACAAATATACATATGTTGGTCACAGATACCTTAAAAAAACAAAAGTAGGAGTCCAACAGATTGTATAATACAATAGATATTTAAAGGTACTGACTGTGACAAAAGTGTCCTGCTGTCCAATTGACATTTCAATGTGACTCCCACCTGTTCTCCAAGAGCTGCTGAATTCCATGTTCACAGTTATCCATTTTTATGTTAAAGTACCAGCGGCCTGGGCTTTGGCCCCGAGTCAGAGCAGGTCCACTGAGGCCATAGCCCAGTGAGACACTGGAGCCGGGCCGTGGAAGAGGTGAAAACTCAAAAGTCAGAGCCTTTTTGGTCTAAATCTCACTAAATTTGGTCAGATGCTTATATTTACGTAGTCTGTCCGTGAGGGTTTACCTGTTCCCTAACCTGTACTCCAGCTGCTGCTGCTCTGCTGCTGTTGCAGAAATTAAATTAGCCTCCTGTCCCGATGGATTAGCCTCCTGTCCCGATGGATCAGCCTCCTGTCCCGATGGATTAGCCTCCTGTCCCGATGGATCAGCCTCCTGTCCCGATGGATTAGCCTCCTGTCCCGATCGATTAGCATCCTGTCCCGATCGATTAGCATCCTGTCCCGATCGATTAGCCGATGGATCAGCCTCCATTTACGTAGTCTGTCCGTGAGGGTTTACCTGTTCCCTAACCTGTACTCCAGCTGCTGTTGCAGAAATTAAATTAGCCTCCTGTCCCGATGGATCAGCCTCCTGTCCCGATGGATTAGCCTCCTGTCCCGATGGATTAGCCTCCTGTCCCGATGGATTAGCCTCCTGTCCCGATGGATTAGCCTCCTGTCCCGATGGATTAGCCTCCTGTCCCGATGGATTAGCCTCCTGTCCCGATGGATCAGCCTCCTGTCCCGATGGATCAGCCTCCTGTCCCGATGGATCAGCCTCCTGTCCCGATGGATTAGCCTCCTGTCCCGATGGATTAGCCTCCTGTCCCGATGGATCAGCCTCCTGTCCCGATGGATCAGCCTCCTGTCCCGATGGATTAGCCTCCTGTCCCGATGGATTAGCCTCCTGTCCCTATCTATGGTCAATGTCCCGGATATTATGTAATTATATCTAG